TTCCTCGTCCCCTCCGGTGCCAGGTGGGATAACCTGGGACCAAGCCCAGCTTTGCCTGTCCAGCTCTTCCCGTAAAAATCCAGCACAAACAGCTTCTCCCTGCTGCCATAAATGTCCCCCTGGTTTTTCCCGGGATGCCTCTCTGCCGTGGCATCTTTTCCTTGGCTGCTCTTTTGTGTTCCCTGCAAGCATCCCAAGCTTTTTCAGTGTCCCTGAATTCAGAGTCCAGGCAAAACATGTCTTGGACTTTCTGAGGCTTCTTGTTCCCTTGATGCCCTAAAAGTTACTGGCTTTGGTGGCTTTAAATGAAATCAGTCCAGTGCTGAAAATGTTCTGGAAAACTGTCCATGTTCCAAAAGGGAAGGTGCTGCTTTTCCCTGCCTTTTGTTGCTGGTTTTCCTCCCTCTCTGCAGTAGCTGATCCTCAGGATTTCTCTGCTGCTCCAGCTGGGACCGAGCAGTGCTGCTTCGGGGCTTTTTAGTGGTGTCTGAAGTGTTGTGACCAGTCCTGGAGGGAATGTGATCCCGAGGAGCACATCCTTCCCAGGGACTTCTGCTCTTCCAGGTCGGGGGACTGGAAGTGGTTTCTTCTGGAGTTTCAGCCCCTTGTCAGCTGCCATTTTGGTTTTGATGTGGTTCCTAATCAGGGCCTTGATGAGCTGCCTCCTGAGGGAATTAAGCAGAAAGTCTGGGTGATGCCAATCAGGGCCTCAGGACCTTGGAGCCTGAGGAGAGAAGGATCCAGGGAAACCTGAGAGCCCCTTCCAGGGCCTAAAGGGGCTCCAGGAGAGCTGGAGAGGGACTGGGGACAAGGCATGGAGGGACAGGACACAGGGAATGGCTTCCCAGTGCCAGAGGGCAGGGATGGATGGGATATTGGGAAGGAATTCCTGGCTGGGAAGGTTGTCCAGAGAAGCTGTGGCTGCCCCTGGATCCCTGGAAGTGTCCCAGGCCAGGCTGGAGCAACCTGGGCTGGTGGAAGGTGTCCCTGCCCATGGCAGGGGGTGGCACTGGATGGGCTTTAAGGTCCCTTCCCCCCAAACCATTCTGGGATTCAGACATAAAAGGCCCATCAGGAAAATAAAAACCTGTTTGGGTTGATCCACTTGGTTTCTCCCAGGAGAAAATATTTCGGAGGTGCCACACAACTTCCTAGTGGAAACACCTGTGGAGGACAGGAGGGAGGGAAGGCCCCTCACTGGGGACTTTTACATGAATGTCCCTCAAGAAAAACTGAAGCTGAGCTGAAGCTGATGCTGCTGGAGAGATCCTGGAACCCCAGAGCCCCTGAGGTTGGAAAAGCCCTCCCAGCCCATGGATCCACCCTGGGCCCCATCCCCACCTTGGCCCCCAGCCCAGAGCACTGAGTGCCACGGCCAGGCCTTCCTGGGACACCTCCAGGGATGGGCACTGCAAACCTCCCTGGGCAGCCCCTGCCAAGGCCTCACCACCCTTTCCATGAAGAAAGGTGAGCAGGGACACCTTCCACCGTCCAACCCGGCCTTGAGCACTTCCAGGTGTCCTCCTCGGGACTCTCTGCTCTTGCCCCCCATCCTTTGGGCCATGTGGGGTCAGGGCCAGGCGGGGGGATCGTTACCTAACCCGGGATCACGTCACGGGGCTGTGGGGGCGGCCCTGGGGGAGTGGGAGCTCCTCGCCCCGGCCCGCCCGGCTCGGGGTGCGGCTGTTGGCACTCACTGGAGCCAGGGGTGCCATTCATCTGGCAGAGGTGGGGGCGGCTCTGGGAGCAGGGGATGAATCACAGCTCCATTGACTTCACTCCCAGCTCTCCATTGAGTCTAAAAGGAGCCCGGAGCCGTCGCTGGGGGTGCTCGTGTTCTCCTCGCCCACGGTTAACTCGCTGCCTCCCGGGGCCCCTGGAGGGGATGGATCCAGGGCCTGGACAGCATTCCTGGGGGTGTATCCCCAGTCAGGCCCTCATCCTGGCTCACCAAAGGGTGGCACAGCTCTGAGGTGGTGTTGGAGGCCTCTCCTGCCTCCAGCTTGCCCAGGCTCCTTCTGCATCTCCCGTTTTCGTTTCCATAGTTTTCCCTGCAGCACTTTGCGCTTTTCCTTCATTCCCTGCTGTTTTCCAGACCGTTTCTCCAGTGGCAGCACCACGTGAATCCAAACCTGCTCTTCCAACGTGCTGCTGCCCTCTCTACTGGGACCTTCTGCACACTGAAGTTCCCTCTCTGTTCCCTCCTAACTCTTGGTGAGCACGTTGAGCTCATCCCAAGGCAGACCCCGGTGAAATCCCACTTGATCCATCCTTGCGGTTCAGCAGTGAAAAATGTGTCAATGCAGCTCTTTCCTCACCTTGCAGAGGTTTCTATCCCCTTGGTTTTTATGGGAATGCCTTGTGAGAGCGTGGGGAATGCTCAGCTGCCATCAGGCTCCGTGTGGCAGCTCTGCCTTTCCCATGTTCAGGAGACCCGTTATTGTCACCCAGAAATTGGGTTCCTTTGGCACATCCCGTCCCCTCCGATCCATTCCACCTCCTGTTTGTCACCTGGATGGTTTATTAAACCTCTCTGCTGTTTGTTAGAGGGTTTGCCAGGGAATTAAAGATGAGTTGCTTCGTTTTAGGCTTCCTTTGATCTTTCTGTTGCCTGTTTATAAAGATGAGCATCATCCTTTGTGCGGCTCTCCGGGAATGCCGAGCGTGCCAGGTGAGCTCTGAGACAACCATGGCACGAGTCAGGCACTTTCTGCCACCTCAGTGAGTTTCTCCAGGCCCAGAGAGTTGAAACAAACTCTAAATTCTTCCAGCTGCTGGGTTTTTTTTTTACTGGAAAGTCAGAGCTTGGCTTTGCTGTTCTGGTGCCAGCAGGAGTTGGCTGGAGCTGGTTTGTACAGACCTAACCATGATATATTTGAGTTGTTCACTTGATTGGTCATGGAATTATAGAATGGTTTGGGTTGGAAGGGGCCTTAAAGATCATCTAGTCCTGCCCCCCACAGGCAGGGAACCTTCCACTAGACCAGGTTGCTCCAAGGTCTGTCCTAGATCATAGAAACCTGGAATTGTTTGGATTGGAAGGGACCTTAAAGCCCATCCAGTGCCACTTCTGCCATGGGCAGGGACACCTTCCACCAGCCCAGGTTGCTCCAGGCCCCATCCAGCCTGGCCTGGGACACTTCCAGGGATCCAGGAGCAGCCACAACTGCTTGGATTCAGGAATTACAGTGTGAGGTTGTCCCACTCTCCTTACTTGGACAGGAGGGTTGTGTCACTGGAATGACCTTTCCCAGGCATGGGAATCTGCTTCCAGAGGGCTGCCCTGCACCTGGAAAGGAGGATTTTGTTGAAGGGGGGAGAGTTTCACACCTAATGAGGAGCAGCTGCATAACCAGCTCTGCTTTTGGGGCAGGTGATGTGTGAGGTGACACGAATGGGGGGATCCACGACACCCTTAAAGTGCTTCCCGGTTCTGTTGGAGTTTCTCCATGTCTGGGTACTTTGTTGCATGAAGTCCCTGGGTTTTCAGATTCCCTGTTTTCCATGGATAATGTGGAAGCACATCCATAATTACAGCACGAAGTGAAATATCAGGGAATTGCAGGGAATTCAGGCTCTGTGTCGCTTTACATTCCACGGATGATGTTTGTATGTCCTCGTATGTAATCCCCGTGTGCATCAGCTTTTGGGATGCCCTTCCCCAGCTCTGGAAAACGCAGGAATATTTCCATATTCCTTGTAGGAGCTGTCGTGGCGTTGCCGGCAGAACTGGTGGGATTGGGATGCCTGGAAATGCTGCAGGTGGGCGGATGCAGAGGAGGGTCCTGTCCCGGTGCCCGTCGGTCACGGGGAGCACACACGGGAACGCGGTGATCCCTGACCTTCCCACCCCTGTGCCAGCCCTCCGGGTCCCTGCGGGTGGCACGGGTGTCCCTGGCAGGTGATCCCTTCCCTCCGGAGGGGCAGGAGGAGCGGGGAGAGGGGGAGGCGTGTGCCGGCCCCGGTACCGCAGTGTGATTCCCGCTGCTCCGTGCCAGCTCCTGGATACACATCCCCTCCCTCTGCCCCCTCGCTCTCCCCGTGCCGTGGCAGGGAAGCTCGGGGGGGGATTCGTTCCCACTGCCACGCTCCGGGCAGATCCTTCGCCGCCCGTCCTGGCCCTGCCGAGGATCCTCCCCATCCCCATCGCTCCCATCGCTCCCATCACTCTCCAGCACAGCGGGAAGGGGTTGCAGCAGCCCCTTCACCCGGGGACGAGCAGGGGATTCGCTTCTCCATCTCTTGATCGCTCCCCATCCCTCCCATCTCTCCCCATCACGTTGGGAAGGGGATGCAGCAGCCCCTTCACCCGGGGACGAGCGGGGGGCTTCACTTCTCCATCTCTTGATCGCTCCCCTTCTCTCGCACCGCTCCCATCTCTCCCATCGCTCCCTCCTCGCCGCTCCCGCTTCGGCTCCTTGTGCCACCTCCCCCCTTTCCCGGCGCTGCCGAGAGCCGGACCCGGGTCCCTGATTAATTCGGCTCTGATGTCAGACATGCGGCTCTGCTGGGAGGGATTTGCAGGGCTGCGTTTGCTCCGAGCGTCCCCCTCCCGCGCCCCCCGCCCCTCCCGCCGCGCGTCGATGGCATTTGGGGAAGGGGCTGCGGTGGGCGCCGGCCCCGCGGAGCTGCCGCCGCCCCACCCGCCGCTGGATCCTCCCGGTTCTTCCCCGCCGGTGCCTTTTGTTAAAGTGGGACAAGGAAATGCATCCCCCCTGCTCCTGGCAGACCGTCACTTAGCAACGCGGCGGGGAGGGGAGGGGGGGGGATTTTAGGAGAAGATCCGAGCGCCGGGATGAGGATTTAAACTCTGCCGTGCTCAACTCACCAAAGAGGCACCTTCTCCTTTCGTCGAGCAGCCGATTTTTTTTTTTCCGCGTGAGAGGCACCCGGGAAGTCTGAGAGAGCCGATCCCCCGATGCCCCCCCACGCTCCGGGCAGCCTTTAAAGGGGATCCCGAGGGGATCTGTATCCCTGCATTCCTATGCAGGTGACTGCGAGGGGGCCCGGTGGGCAGCAGGGTGATCCAGGCAGCCGGGGCTTTCCTCCTCCTCCTCCTCCTCCTCCACGCTGAGGGAAAGTAGCTTTTCATCTTTTTTTCATTCTGACTTTGGGCAAAAGGGAGGGGAGGGGAAGCAGCTTGAGCCCAACTCCCCGCTGAGATGAGACGGTGGATGAGAAGAGGTCTCCTTGTCACAGGCACAAAGGCCACCTCCGCCTGGCAGCATGGTGCTGAAATCTAACCCTGGCATCATTCTCTTGTGCTCTTTCCTGCCCAGTGACTACATCATTGAGGAGAAGACGGCCGTGCTGCAGAAGAGGGAGCATGAGGGATTCGGGTTTGTATTGCGAGGGGCCAAAGGTAAGGGCTGCTTCTTTCGCTGGCTCTGGGGCTGGGGCGGGAAGCGCCTTCTCCTCACCCTGCCCGGGCTCCGGATCCCCAGATTCCCGTGCCCGGCAGCCCTGGGAATTAGGGGCTCTTTAGGGGACTCTCTTCTCCGGCTCTCTCCTTGCCCGGGTGCCGTCGTGGCGGGCGGGCGTCGCTCACACTTTCCGGGGGGTTCTGGTGCGGACGCTGCTCTTCGTGGCTTTGGGATCCTGGGAATGTTCACTCCCCCCTGTTCCCCGGGAGCGTGACCCGGGTGCAGCCCCGTGGCATCCCTGGCGTTTTCGGTTCAAATGCTGCAAGTGTTTCGCTGTACTTTGGCTGTGGGGAGTTGGGGGTCCTTTGAGGAGCCCTGGTCGTGCTGGGGTTCCCGAGGGAAAACCGGGAGAGGTGTGTCCCGCGGCTCCCACCGTCCCTTTGATCCCGTGCCGCTCATTCCCGGGGCGCCCCGGGGTGCTCCCGTGGCCGGACCTGGGGTGGGTGGTTCCTGTGGCTTCTCCTGCCAGAAATCCATCTTTGTGCTGCAAAAAAAAGAGGCCCTTGGGGACCGGGAATGAATGTGCTCGTACGGATACAGGGAACGGGCTTCAGCTCCCGTGCTCGGGAGGCAGGAATGCCTCCGGCTGGAGAACCCTGTCCTTCCCCAGCACTTCCAGGCTCTTGGAAGCAGAGGGACAGTGGGAGCAGGGGGACAATGGTGCAGCTCTGTCCCTTCCATGTAGGATGTAGCAAGGTGTGGGAGGGAAAGCTGGAAGCAGCTCCCTGGGTAGTGCTGCTCCTTCCCCGGACCTCGGTGCGGCTGCGGATTCGGGCTTTGATCTCCGGGGGGGGGGTTTTGGGGGGGGATTCCTGGATCGCCTTTGTTCTGCCCATGGAAGGGCTCGGTGCCCGTGGGTGTGTTTGCATCCCTGTTGGAATATGGTTGCTGTCTCTTCCTCCCTCTCTCTCTCCCCTTCCCTATGGATGTGACATACGTGTCTGTCCGTGTGTAACATGAAGTGAAACTTCACAGCTCAAAATGGCATCCATTTTTTGTCCGGATCGATCTTGCCCCTATTGTGTTGGGAAAAATGGATACATTTAGTCCCGTTGCCCATTTTTTCCCCCCCTTTTTTTTTATTTTTTTCTTCTCTGCCCTCCCGACGTTTGCAGGCTCTGCCTCTCCCTTTGTCTGCCGAGGCTGAAGGCAGGACCGGGAGCGGATGAAGTGGGCGTGTGGCTGTGTGGGATTTGGGAATCCTGGCAGTGCTGCAGGGCACCGGGAAGCGCGTGGCTGCAGAGGGTGTCGTGGCGTGGAAGCCGTCGGGAGCGTGGGCACGGTCTGGGAGGCTCCCCGAGCCCCTCAGGGAGCAGCGTTCCCTCCACAGGGAGGGGAATGTGGTGGATCAGGTCCCCCCCGTGTTTCCCAGCCCCTCATCCCGGTGCTCCGTGGGGTTTGGGCTGGAAGGAGCTCTGGGACTCTCTGCGTGGCCCCGTCGGTGTCACCACCGCTCCATTTAGGGAAAACCGCTTAAGGAATCGTGGTGTGAAAGAGGAAAAGGGGTCTGGAAATGGGGGGATCAGAGGATCATCCCTTGCAGGGGTGGGAGATGGATATTGTGGATGATCCTCAAAGGAATCTGCTCTTCATGCCACAGGGAGGGTGTGAAAATCCTTCCTGGCTTCTCTCAGTCCTGCTGAGGGTTCGTTCCTTCCCCAGCCTGAATTTGTCCCTGTGAACACCTCCAGGAAGAGGGCTCAGGCTCTGCACCATCCTGGAGAACCAGCCCTTCCCAGCCCATCCCGTCTCCACCTCAGCCCCGTTCCAGAGGAGGTGACATCCCAGTCAGACCAGCTGAGCCTTTGGACAGAGCTTATTTTATTTCATCCTGGTCTCTGCAGGGGATGAGCTGCAGCATTTGCACCTGGGGCTTCCCTGCAGCCGTTGCCTGGGAATACCCAGAGGAGCAGTGGCTGCCCCTGGATCCCTGGAAGGGTCCCAGGCCAGGCTGGAGCAACCTGGGACAGTGGAAGGTGTCCCTGTCCATGGCAGGGGTGGCACTGGATGGGATTTAAGGTCCCTTCCCACCCAAACCATCCCGGGATTCCATGATTAGGGAATGATTAGGGAATCCTGTGGAGCAAATGGATTGCTCCAGCTGTGGAGCAGCCCCTTCACCCTGTGATGAGCCAGAGGATTCACTTCTCCATCCCTTGGCCCAGAGAGGTCCCAGCCCGTCACACACTCAAATCAGAGACCTGCTCAAGGTGCTGAAAGACATTTCTTGGCTTACAACAAGGTCAGGTTGGGGCTGAGGAGGAATTTGTTGCTGGAAAGGGTGGTGAGGCCTTGGCAGGGGCTGCCCAGGGAGGTTTGCAGTGCCCATCCCTGGAGGTGTCCCAGGAAGGCCTGGCCGTGGCACTCAGTGCTCTGGGCTGGGGGCCAAGGTGGGGATGGGGCCCAGGGTGGATCCATGGGCTGGGAGGGCTTTTCCAACCTCAGGGGCTCTGGGATCCTGAACTCACCAGTCAAACCTTCCATGCCCAAACTGGAGCATCTCCCTCTTCCCGGCCAACCCATCAGGCACTGTCTGTTTGGTCATTTAATCCCTAAAATATTCCTGAGCTGGGGCCATCCTGTGAGCAGAGGGTGTTACAGCTCCCTCAGGGACTGCTCCTCACACGCCATCTCCAAATCCACTCTGCCCATTCCTGGGCAGGGGAATGGCATTCCCAGGCCAGTCAGTGCCAGTTGGCATCTGGTTGTGGTGGGTTTTTGTGGGAGCAGAGGCACAGGGAGCACCTGACTTGGGAATTTACGCTCTAAGGAAGGAGTAGATCCTATCCCTGGAAGTGTTCCAGGTCAAGTTGGCCAGGGCTTGGAGCAACCTGGGCTAGTGGAAGGTGTCCCTGCCCATGGCAGGGGTGGCACTGGGTGGGCTTTAAGGTTCCTTCCAAACCAAATCATTCTGGCATTCTATGATTTTATGGATAACAAGGATAGCACCATTAATACCAACAATGTATTAAAAAAAGGAAAAGGAGATGGCTCCAAGACTTTGCTCAAGGGCAGAGCTTTTGTCTGTTTGTCTGGGGAGAGCCAGGTTATTCCCAAAGTTCCAAGGTTATTTCATCTTGTGGTTTGTGTGTCCCCTGATGCAGCTGATCCCATGGGAAGGAGAGTCCATGCTGATCCCCTGCAGGGCTCAGTTTGCTCCTGATACTTCCCAAAGCATCAATCTCCTCTCCCCAGGCAGGTGCTTCACCTGCATCTGCCTCAGCACGGGACCCACACCCGTTTTCCAGGTTTATCCCACCTCACCACAGCTCCCAGACCCTGCTGCTCGTGGAGCAAGTGCCTGCCCTGGTCCCCAGAGCCCAGAGACCCCCATATCCTCCTCTGCCCCTCAGTGCCCCTCCTGTGCCTGGTATTGATCCCACCTTGGAGCACAATTCCAATGAGGAGCAGCTCAGGGAGCTGGGAAGGGTCTGGAGCAGCAGGAGGGGCTGAGGGAGCTGGGGGGGCTCATCCTGGAGCAAAGGAGGCTCAGGGGGGACCTTCTGGCTCTGCAAGTCCCTGCCAGGAGGGGGGAGCTGGGGGGGGTCGGGCTCTGCTGCCAGGGAACAAGGGACAGGCCAAGGGGAAACGGCCTCAGGCTGGGCCAGGGGAGGGTCAGGTTGGATATTGGGGAAATTCCTTCCTGGAAAGGGTTTTCCAGCCCTGGCACAGCTGCCCAGGCAGGGATGGAGTCCCCCCTTCCCTGGAGGATTTCCAAGCCCTGTGGATGTGGCACTTGGGGACGTGGGGCAGTGGTGGCCTTGGGGGAACAGTTGGACTTGATGTCTTGGAGGCTTTTCCAACCTCAGTGATTCCAGGATTCCCTGATTCCACCTGGTTTTGCCATGTTTCCAGTTTGCTGTTCAGCCTCAGCTGTTGGGTTTTCATCCCAGCCAGAGCCACTGGGATCACAGACACTTGGATCCCTCAGGGAATTCCATAAGGGCTCAGCACTTGCCGGGATCTGTGGGATTAGTGGATCCTCTGAGAGAGGTTTAGTCCTTTCCTGTCCTGTGAGAAGCTCAGGAGCCCCTTCCCAACCCTGGGAGGGTGTTGAAGGAAGTGCAGTCAGAGCTCAGGGATCTTCCCATTGGTCTGGGAAGTGGGAATGTTGTCCCCAAGCCCTGCAGCAAGACTTTGGGATACAACACTGGCATCATCATGGAAATGAAGAGCTCAGTGATGGTTTCCAGACCTTGGCTCTTGTGCAGAGGAGTTCTGGGACACTTGGTGACCCTCAGGAAGGACAGGAATTGGGACTGGGGGTGTTGGGTCATCCCTGTTGAGGGTGGTGTGATCCTTGTGGAGATCTAGTGGAAAACCGGGAACAAGGCCCAGCAGAGTCTGGAATTTGGATTATCCCACTCTTTTAGAAGAACCTTAGGAATTTAAACACCCAGGAGCTGATTTTAATTCCCTGCCCCAAGGAATGGGGGGTGAGGAGCAGGAAAGGCCTCGACTGCACAGACCCTGCTCAGGAATAATTAAAATATCCATGCTGTCCACCCCGTTCCCAACAGGGGGTTTGGTGCCTCCAGGATGGGGTTTGGTGGCTCTGAGAGGAGATTTCATTCCCCTAGGATGGGATTTTATGCCCCCAGAAGGAGGTTTGGTGCCTCCAGGATGGATTTTGGTGCCTCCAGGGTGGGATTTGTTGCCCCCAGGCCTTCCTGGTGACCCAGCTCTGCCAGGTCTTCTCCCACAGCTGGAGCTGGAATTCCTGCTGTGGGACAGCCCACACTGAGGGATTTTTAAGGCCAGGAGGTGTCCAAATTGCACAACCAGAGCTGTGGTGGCTCCTAAAGAGGTGCAAATTCTGCTTCCTGAGATTTAAAGTCGTTGGCTTTGGCAAAAACCTTTGGGTGGCCCTGGATGGGCTTTAAGGTCCCTTCCAACCCAAACCATTCCATGATTTTTGTGACCAGGAGGGTCACAGCTCCTCCATCCACTGCCTGCCAGGGATGTTGAGGACACTGGGAGCAGTCATCCCTCCAAACCTACTCTCCAAGGAGAAGAGGTTTAATTCATGTTTAAGTCCATTTTTAGACCTTCTTTCCCACTCCCTGTGACCAAGTCCTGGGACTCCAGGCAGTATTGCTTCCCCTGTCTCTGTGTGTCCCCATCCTGGATTAAATGGTACTCCTGGGGTTTGTTCCACGGGGATACAGCTCTTAATTCAGGATTCAGCTCTTAATTCCTGATTCATTTTGTTGTTTGCTGAGCCTTTAAGGCCCCGGTGACACTTTCCCAGCTCGTGTCTCACGACGTGCACTCGCTGCAGGTTCCAGCCCACGGGAAGTGCTGTGCCTGGAGTGACACGTGGTTAACATGGAGAGAACAGGCTGGGAGCTGGGATCTGCTCTGCTAACTTTATCTGAATGCCCTGTCAGGTGATATCTTGGATTATGTCCTTGCCCAGAGAAGCTGTGGCTGCCCCTGGATCCCTGAAATTGTCCAAGGGCAGGTTGGAGCAACCTGGGCTGGTGGAAGGTGTCCCTGCCCATGGCAGGGGTGGCACTGGATGGGCTTTAAGGTCCTTCCAACCCAAACCATTCCATGATTCTGTGGTTGCACCTAAACCAGGAGGTCAACTGCTGGAGGTTTCTGGTGCCCCCAACAGCAGGAGGATGTGGAGCTGCTGGAGAGAGTCCAGAGGAGGCTCCGGAGCTGCTGCCAGGGCTGGAGCCCCTCTGCTCTGGAGCCAGGCTGGGAGAGCTGGGGGGGTTCCCCTGGAGAAGAGAAGGCTCCAGGGAGAGCTGAGAGCCCCTTGCAGGGCCTAAAGGGGCTCCAGGAGAACTGGAGAGGGACTGGGGACAAGGGATGGAGGGACAGGACACAGGGAATGGCTTCCCAGTGCCAGAGGGCAGGGATGGATGGGATAGTGGGAAGGAATTCGTGGATGGCAGGGTGGTGAGTGATGAATTTCCCAGAGCATCTGTGGCTGCCCCTGGATCCCTGGAAGTGTCCAAGGGCAGGTTGGACGGGACTTGGAGCAACCTGGGACAGTGGAAGGTGTCCCTGCCCATGGCAGGGGGTGGCACTGGATGGGCATTAATGTCCCTTCCACCCAAACCATCCTGGGATTCCATGAATTCCCAAGAGCATCCTTGGTGACTGAGGTAGGATTTTAGGATTTTGATCGGCTTTAGGATTTTTCCATTGGGAAATGCAGCGGGGGGTGGGGGGAGCAGCCACTGTGATAACACAGTTTGCTCCTTCTCCTGACTGGGAAACCAATTAAATTGTCATCTGTCCAACTCCACCCTCCCCAGGGATCAGGATTTGACTTTAACATTTCCGTGGCTTAATTCGGGCGCGTGTGATCCGGGAGGGCAGCGCCGGGTCCCGCCTCGTGCTGCTTTTCCACAGAGACCATATGTCTCATTAGCATTATGGAAATAATTTACTTGACATTCGCAGCGTTCCAGCCTCCCCTTTTCTGCTTTTCAACCCTCCGGGTCTTTCCCACCTCGCACCTCACACCCCTTCTCCACTCAGGTCTGGCCTAAGGGGCGCCTCGTTTTGCACCAAATCTCGGTGGCTCTTTGAACTCCAGAGCACTCAGGGAACCTGCAGGTCAACACTGGGCCAGGGGGTTGAATTTATCACCGGGGAGGTCCCTCGGGAATCAGAACATTCCATTGGCATTTCTAAAAATAGGGAGGGTGACTTGTCAGCTCTTCGCCGCTTGGCTCCCGTGGAAGGGGAGGAGTCGTGGAAAGCTGTTGGTGAAAAAGCATCTGAGATGGTTCAGCACGTTAACATCCTGTCAGGAGAAGTTGGTCTTGGGGTGGTGCTGGGCCTTGGAGTGCAAAAAGTCTTGCCTAAAATATGTAAATAAAGAATAAAGGAGGAATTGTCTTTGTGTGCGTGAAATCAGGGTCTACAGACACTGAAGTGGAGGAGAGTGTGGGTGACGTTGGCTGGAGTGACCTGACATCAAAGGGGATGCACTCTGAGGCCGTCCATGGGCTCTCTGATTCATCAGGGGGTTGACACAGCTCTTAAAATGCATTTTTAGGATAATTTAGGGGCATGAGAACTTGTCTGGGCCTGATGATCCAGCACAAAGGAGGCTCAGGGGGGACCTTCTGGCTCTGCAAGTCCCTGACAGGAGGGGGGAGCCGGGGGGGGGTCAGGCTTTGCTGCCAGGGAACAAGGGACAGGCCAAGGGGAAACGGCCTCAGGCTGGGCCAGGGGAGGGTCAGGTTGGATGTTGGGAAAAATTCCTTCCTGGAAAGGGTTTTCCAGCCCTGGCACAGCTGCCCAGGGCAGGAGTGGAGTCCCCATCCCTGGAGGGATTTCCAAGCCCTGTGGATGTGGCACTTGGGGACGTGGTCAGTGGTGGCCTTGGCAGTGCTGGGGACGGTTGGGCTCTGTGGTCTCACGGGCTTTTCCATCCCAGATGATCCCATGGCTGGGAATGCCGTGGACGGGCACTGAACGTGTCTGAACCAACACAGGGACTTTCTCGGCCACCCCCTCAACCCCTCCCTGCCTTTGTGTTTTGCAGCTGAAACCCCGATCGAGGAGTTCACCCCCACCCCGGCCTTCCCAGCGCTCCAGTACCTGGAATCAGTGGACGTGGAAGGAGTTGCTTGGAGAGCGGGGCTGCGCACGGGGGACTTTCTGATCGAGGTGAGTGTGGCCACGGCGTCCTCCAGGGCCCGCCTGGTCATGGGGTTCTTGTCCCCCATGAGGTGTTTTGGGACGTGTGGCCTCTCCCAGGCAGGTGGTGGCAGCTGTGTCACTTGGGACGGGGATATTTTGGCTGCTCCCCCAGCAGAGGCTGATTTAAGGAGTGGTTCTGAAGAGGGAACCACTTGATCAGTTGGTGCTTTAGGGACTGGGCTTGGAGAAAAGTATAAGGGGTGTTACTGTGGGACCTGCAGGTGACAATGGTGTCCTGAGCCAGGTGGGTTTGGGGTGAACAGGCCAGGTCTGGGTTTCTGAAGACTGGAGAAGAGGCTCTTCCAGTGAGGCAGCCAAAGAATGGTCAAAGTGTTGGTCACTCGGTTGGTCTGTTCCGTGTCTTGGTTCCAAAGGATCCCAGAGAGTTGGTTTCCAACAAGGATGTGCAGCGTTGGGGCAGGAAGGGATGTGGGACAGATCCTGCCCCTTCCAAGGGAGCGCTGCTGGCAGGAGGGGTGGGATGAGGCCGGATGGATGTGGAGTCTGTGCAGTGACCATGGATTAACACAACCTGGGGGTGACCTGAGGAGAAGGATTTGGGATGTTGGTGGGTGAGAGGCTGGACATGACCCAGCCCAGAACTCCCTGTGCCCTGGGCTGATCCCACGGGGATCGTGGGCAGCAGGAGAGGGGGGATTCTGCTCCTCTGCCCACTCAGGGGAGACCCTCCCCTCCTGCAGAGCTGCTCCAGCCCTGGGAACAACAGCAGGAGGACGTGGAGCTGCTGGAGAGAGTCCAGAGGAGGGCACGGAGCTGCTACCAAGGCTAGAGCCCCTCTGCTCTGGAGCCAGGCTGGGAGAGCTGGGGGGGTTCCCCTGGAGAAGAGAAGGCTCCAGGGAGAGCTGAGAGCCCCTTGCAGGGCCTGAAGGGGCTCCAGGAGAGCTGGAGAGGGACTGGGGACAAGGCATGGAGGGACAGGACACAGGGAATGGTTTCATACTGAAAAGGGATTTTTGGAATAAAGCTGAACTGGTCTTACTGGCACTGCTGGCACTGGTGGGCACTGGTGGGCACTGGTGCTTGGCCAGCTCAGCTCTGGTGATTTGCTTTGGGGGTCTGAAGGTTGTGCTGAAAACTGGATATTGGGAAAATTCCTTCCTGGAAAGGGCTGCCCGGCCCTGGCACAGCTGCCCAGGGCAGGGGGGGAGTCCCCATCCCTGTGGATGTGGCACTTGGGGACATGGGGCAGTGGTGACCTTGGCAGTGCTGGGGGATGGTTGGACTCAATGGGCTCAGAGGGCTTTTCCAGCCTAAATATATATCTTTAAAAGGCTCTTTTCCATGGATATTTCTCACCCCTGTGCCAGGGAGGAGCCCCCAGCTCCCACCTGGGCTCTGTGGGACCTTTCTGGCAATCCTTTTTCCTCGGCCATGGAATGTATAGTTGATGGGAAGGCTGCAGGACCAATGATCCCAAACCTACAAACCCTTCCAGAGCTGATCCTTTTCCCACTCAGACATTTCAGGAATATCACAGAGCAGGGGATTCAGGAATTTTCAGGTGCACGTGGGGCGTGGGGAGCGGGTCGGTGGGAGAACCTCGGCCCTCTCCCTTCCTTCCCAGTTGGATGTTGAGCTGCAGAATAAATAACTGTGCTTCCTGGTTCCCATTCCCTCTGGAGCAGCAGGAGGAGCTGAGCTGACCACCCCCGTGGCTGCCAAGCGTGAGTGGTTTCCCGGGAAGGGAAGCTGGAGGTGGCTTTAGAATGAGCACAGCAGCTCTGCCGCAGTGGAGAGCCACATTCCAAGGGGGATACTCCAAAAGGGAGATGTTGGCACAGAGCTTGAAGCCCTTGGGCAGGTCTCTGGGAACGGCCTCACTGACCTTTCCAGGTGTTTGGATTAGGGAGGTGTTCAGTTCAGGTGGAAAGTGTGTGGGATTTTGGAGTTTGAAACTGTCCTTTAGAGGTTAAATGAAAGAATTAATTAAATAATTATTAAGTGAAGGTGAAATTAATCTTTATTCTTTTAGCTTTAAGGGTTTCTTAGTCCTGGAGGTCAGTGCTGGACAGGGAGGGAGATGTAAAGTGCTTCCACACTGGAGTCAGCAAATCCCAATAAAGAAGTGGATCAGCCCCCTGGTCAGCATTCCAGACCCTTGGGATGAGTCAGTGGGGGAGGATCTCTCCAGGTCACCCCTGGTCAGCATTCCAGACCAGGTGGGAAGCCCTGAGAGGCGTTTCCAGGTTGGGAAGTGTTTGGTGACAGGGACAGTCTCCATGTGAGAGCTGCTGGATCAGCTCTGGAGCCACAAATGACTCCTTCCTGCAGGGACCAGTGGGAGGACAATGCCTGGATCCCAGAGCCCAACTGCTGGGGACAGGAAAGGGGCAGGATGGACCACCTGGAGCGGGATCTGACCCACACATGGATCCGCCAGGCCATGGACCATTTGGTCTGTCCAGTCCTGTCTCCAGTTCCCAGATGTCTCTGGCACCAACACAAACCAGTTCCCTGCTGGCAGCTCCAGCCTTTCCAGTAGCCAACTCTCAAACCAGTCTGGTCACTCCAGTAACAAGTTCCCAGCACTCCCAGTCTCTCCAGTAACAAGTTCCCAGCACTCCCAGTCTCTCCAGTAACTGCTCAAGGTCTGCCTGCATTTGGTCCTCTCACAGCACCTCCGAAGGTCTGGCACCATCCCAGGATGCTGTTCCTGGCATTCCAGGATGAGTCCCACAGCCCTGCAGGCAGCAGTTCCTGTAGGACCACAGGGTGACACAGAGAGATCTCCCCATGGACTCATCCCAGGGGCCTGGAACAGGGATGGAGACTCATCCCAGGGCTCTGGAATGCAGAGCAGGGGTTACCTGGAGAGATCCCCCCCACTGCTCTGAGCTCTCCCTGGAGCCTTCCCTTCTCCAGGGGAACCCCCCCAGCTCTCCCAGCCTGGCTCCAGAGCAGAGGGGCTCCAGCCCTGGGGGCAGCTCCATACCTGCCTCTGGATTCCTCCAATGGAGGCAGCAGCTCTTCCAAGAATTCCCTGACCTGTTGCTTCCCCACTGGCTCATGTTACATTGTCTGCTCCCCTCCGAGCTCTGGGAGCTCACTTTGTCCCTGAACACTGAGACAAAAAGCCAAGTTAAGCCTGACTTTGGTCCTGTCTAACTCCTCCATGGCTGATTTTTCATCTGCAGAGTCGCATTTTCCCTGAACTTCCTTTTGGTGCCACTGTGCCACTAAAAATATCCCTGTTCTGCCTCAAGTCTGTTCTCAGTCTTTGCTCCAGTCGGGCTTTGCCCTTACTGACGCTGTCCCGGGTGCTGGAGCTGTGCCCGTGTGCCTGTCACCACATTCCTCAGAATCCCAGGATCCCTGAGGCTGGAAAAGCCCTCCCAGCCCATGGATCCACCCTGGGCCCCATCCCCACCTTGGCCCCCAGCCCAGAGCACTGAGTGCCACGGCCAGGCCTTCCTGGGACACCTCCAGGGCTGGGCACTGCAAACCTCCCTGGGCAGCCCCTGCCAAGGCCTCACCACCCTTTCCACCAACAAATTCCTCCTCAGCCCCAACCTGACCCTCCCCTGGCCCAGCCTGAGGCCGTTTCCCCTTGGCCTGTCCCTTGTTCCCTGGCAGCAGAGCCCGACCCCCCCCGGCTCCCCCCTCCTGTCAGGGACTTGCAGAGCCAGAAGGTCCCCCCTGAGCCTCCTTTGCTCCAGGATGAGCCCCCCCAGCTCCCTCAGCCCCTCCTGCTGCTCCAGACCCTTCCCAGCTCCCTTCCCTTCCCTGCACACGCTCCAGCCCCTCCAGGTCTCTCCTGTCTGAGGGCCCAGAACTGCCCCCGGGATTCCTGGGGGGCCTCCCCAGTCCTCCAGGTGTGGATCAACAGGGATCCAGGTCCCCAGGGGATGGAACTGCCAGCAGCTCTCCAGGATCAGGAGGATCCCGTGTCCCCACATTGCCTTTGGAATTCCCCATCCCTGGAGGGATTTCCAAGCCCTGTGGATGTGGCACTTGGGGACAGGGGTCAGTGGTGGCCTTGGCAGTGCTGGGGGATGGTTGGATTTGATCTCAGAGCGCTTTTCCAACCTCAGTGATTCCATGATTCCATGAAAAACATGCCAACAGTTACACCATCAGGCAATTTCTACTCACCTGAGGACAGTGGGATGCCTCCAGGCTGGGGAATTGCCCAGTTTAGGACTGGATTAGACCTGTCAGTGTGGGGGACTTTTTAAAAATCCAACCAGGATTCCAGAGCACAATCCATAGTGTCCAGCCTTGTGTCTCCCCTTGAGCCTGTCAGGGTTTAAATCCCAGGTTTTCTTCCTGTGGTGTAACAACAACCTTTGTGTGTTCACTTCCATGTTGGACTCACATTGATCACCTTGGAGTGGGCACCCAGGACTTGGGATAACATATGCAGATAAATCTGTGGATATAAATTCCAACAATATAAATCTGCATGTTTTCACTCTTTGGGGCTGGATAACACAGTTGTACAAAAGGTTTGGTTGAAGGAAATGGGAATTAATATCGAGCTGGGATCTCAGAGCAGTGAGAAGCTTCTGGGGCAACCCCAACACCACCAGGGGAGGTTTAGGTTGAATTTTAGGAAATATTTCTTCGTGGAAAAGGTTGGAAAGCAATGGAAGGGGCTGCCCAGGGCACTGGTGGAGTCACCATCCCTGGAAATGTTCAAAAAACACATGGATGTGGCACTTGGGGACATGGACATGGTGGTGGTTGTGGTGGTTGGATTTGATGATCTTAAAGGTCTTTTCCAACCTCAAGGATTGTGTGATTCCATGATTTTGCTGTTGTTTCCTTGTGGGTGAGGAAAAAACCTACTCTGGCCACAGTCATTCCCTCGGGAAATGTGTCCTGGGAATCTCATCTGCCTCTCCTGGAGTGTTGCTACTGCCAGATAATGCAGTGGAATATTAGTTGGTATTTGAGTTAATTGGAATATCTCCTCTGGAGCCAGGCTGGGAGAGCTGGGGGGGTTC